TGTTGACAAAGGGTGACAACAAAGCATATAATATCATCTTAGCAGACTCAGAATATAATACCTTATTACTTAACCAAGAAAGTTCTCTTTCTTCTTCTCTTCAGTGCTGACTCATGTAATCGTATGAAGCGTATTGCAGTTACACAAGTCTGTTGTAAAACAGCATCTTATACCTTTGTTGTCTTATGTAGAGTTGAGGAGACCGAATTAAATGCAGATAAAGCAATATGACCTCACCATCCCTCTTTTAACTAATTTTGATTACTAAGTAATCCATAAAGAGCAAAAAGTTAGAGTTATTACCAATAACGTAGTAGGCCTATTTAAGGGTAGGCGGTAACGTAAATATTTTTCTTTGAATTTTTTTATATTATTTCTCCAAAGTATAGAGTTTTTCTTCCAGGACAGAATGATATATAACACTTTGGTGCTAAAAATATTTTACCCGTGTAAAAAAATCTGGAACAAATGCAAAGGTGAGGGCTGACTTCTTTTGAAATGAGGTTTTAGTTTTGAAATATTTGTATATTTTTTATTAAATGTGTAAGTTACCTTGGTGATGGAGACAGCAATAGCTTTGAAAGAAAGAAAGAAAACTGGAAAAGCTATCGGAGGAAAATATGGGGCTAAAATGTTTAAGGAAGGCAAAATAACGCATATCGCATATTTTCTATACCCCTAGGCCTAAGTTATACGCCGTTTTCCGCAAATCGTTATTTTGGTCATGTTATGTACCTTTTCTCAGGAACTAATAGGGATAGGGAGTTAAAATTTTTACACAACATGTATGTTATAGTGTTAAACACACTGAGTTTTTTAGGGCCTAATTCCATCCTACTTGGTAAAAAAATATATATAACAAATTATCTAAGCTATTTATTAGTTTAAAAGCCTGAAAAAACTCAGTACATGTATCAAAGGTATACAAAGAACTGACAAAAATTTCAGAGAGATAGGCCATATAGTTTTCCCAAAAAGGTACATTACGTTAGCATTACAGAGATAGGGATTCCGCCTCCCCTTAAAAATAGTTTTAAAAATGCTAAAATGAGGTTTATTTGATCTATGTGCAATATATGGAGAAGTGTTGTTTTTTATAAATGTTCTGGTAATATTTCACGTCAATGTTAACGTATCGATTGGAACGTCCTTTTACATTGCCGCCTGTTTGTGTTGAATGTCACTCAACGCTAACAGTCAATACAAAGCTTTAGTTTATATAAAATAAAATAAAACAGCTCATATCTCACCTTAACATAGGGTTAGTAATTAATAGGGTAACATAGGTAGCTAATAGGGCTATATTTCAATGTGGATTTAAATTACGTTTATCATATAAATCAGTTATGTTGATATAGAAGTATTAATGTTTTATGACAAATATTTTCTTTTTGTTATCTTCTATATACTTTTTTCTCAAATAAATTAATTTTTATTTGATTAGTTACGACGAAGTAGTATGAACAGAGGATTTGAAAAAATATTAAAACATTTTTTACTATAAAATTGAACGTTCTTGGAATAGTTAAAATTAAAATATACAATGAAAGAGGATTTATCAGATAAATACCTGTGTTGTATACATTAGAGTTGCGAGTAAAGTCTACAAACACGTGGGATTGAGTAAAGGGTGAACGTAATCACACATCATAAAATTTTGAGGACGATTTTCCTCCTGGGTGATTTCATGTCGCAGCAGGAAACGTAGCCATGTGGTTCAGCTGACACCTTTTTATATAATTTCCCTATCAAAAATTTTTGGCCCTTTTTTAAAAGCTAGAATTTTTATTTTTATCTTCAATTTAACTGCATTTTTCTCTTAAGAATGCCAACATTGTGGTCTTATCATGAATGAATCGTAGTAACTTAAATCTTCTGATTGCATTTCATATTTTATTCACGCCGAGGTTTTCCGTAAAGTGGATACGCACTATTTTATTTTGCTATGCTCACTTACACGCTATTAATGGAAACATATAAAAATTTTAAATTTAAAAAAATCAGCAATAACATTAATATTATGTGTTATTGCTAAACTACTACTATACTTTTGTAGTATTAGTATTATTATAATAATGTTGGTTCTTATACAGTTTCTGTTGTTAAATTCATCTCTTTATGTTTGAAGCAATTGCTCTCTCTTTTTCGTGAGAGAAAATCCAAATGTTTTCAGTAGCAGGAGTGGTGGGTAACTTATTGTAACTCCGCCCATGCTTTCAAGCCTCTCCATGAATAATGTGTTTACAATATTTTAGGAATTCAGGAACATATATCTACTTCCGGTAATTAAAATAGTAATTTTACATATTGTTTTCGTAATTCTGTATTTATTTACCTACTATAAAATATTCTTACTTTTATAGTACTTACAATATTTTATGTTTTGGCTCATATATCAACTATAATGATAAATATTTTCGTTGTATATGTCACGTTAAACTTCGTATATCATTAAAAGATATATGAAATGTCTTATGTTGGTGTTGTAATTCTCTTATGAATTAAAAATAAATTCATTCCTTATACAAAACTTGACTTTAACTAGTAAACATTATAATAAACTTTTATAAAAGTTGCAAAGAGATGCTACCGTAAAAGAAACAGGGATGGAAATAAAAGTATAACAAAAATGTTACCAAACTTGGCTTTACAATTGCTATGTGACAAATGAACAGTTGGTGTTTCTCTGTTAATCTCATTTAGCTAAAGCTTTAAAGTTTTTGTTTTCATTTGAAAATAACAAAGAAAAAGATTACAGTCGCTCATGCAAAATTAATCGTGACTAATTTGAATAATATTACGTCCCGTATTACTTGTTACAAAATAGTTGAATTATTAAAGCATGTTACTTGTATAAATTCCCAATCATAGCAAATATGCAGACTAAATTAATTTCCACTTGTCTGATTATATTATTAGCTAAATATTTCCTTAAATGTGTCAGATTCATTCCCTCTATATAACATTAGGTTTAACGAGTACCTGGGTTGCTGTCACAGGGGGAGAAACAGTGGTGTGTGGGAAAAATCTTAGTTGTGTAGTACAAAATAAATAAATTTGACCTAATTTTATCAGACTATATCAATACATAAGCAAACTACCACGGTTTTGTTTTCCGCTATTAGAATAACATGGGCCTTTTTTTAAAGGAGTTTTATTGTAATTTTTTTTATTAGTTTAAAACCCACAAATGGTTCTAAATAGAACATCATTTGTGTTTTTTTAAGCTCTGGATGTAATGAAAATAGTTTTCTCGATATAAAGGTATATTAATTTGAAAGAATTTGTATTCTAACGTTTCTTACATTTGATAACTTAAATATTGCAGTTGATTGTTTAATAATAAACATTCAAAAAATGTCTATGGTATTTTATTTTAGTTTAGGTTACATTTTGAAATATTTTGCACTTTTTGTAAAAATTATGTTCTTATCAAACTTATCATTTGACTAAACACATTACGTTAGATTTTATGGTAGCTAACTTACTATAAAATTTAATGTAATGTGTTTTGCACATTGCACGTAATGTACGTTGCACGTTATGTAGTATGTACATTGTACGTTATGTACATAATATTCTCTTTATTAATATTTTAATTTTGATGAGCCAAAGAGAAAAAAACTTGAAGGTTTGTTTAAGCAATGAACGAGTGGTGTAATCCATAATTAATTACCTTAACTAAATATGAAAATATTTGTAAATTTTAGGGCCTATATATTTAAGTTTTTAGATTATTTGTTATCCTTTTTATAATGGTACTCAGAACATTATTCAGGCTAATCCTGAAAATACGCATTTCATATTTTAATGACCTTAAAGGAAATTGCCAAAAGTGTTTGATAAAGAATCATCTGCAAATCGCGGTGATAACAGTAGGCTTTCTCAACACGATCAAGAGAAAAGGAAGAGGTCAGCGGAAATGGCATCATTTGGCCGGATTGTTGAAATGAATCAATGAAAGATATTGGAAATCGTGTCCTATTGCTTTGCAGAATAATATTTTCCTTTTCCTTCTTCTACGAGTTTTATTTTAGAATTTCCCAAAGCGTGCTATGCTCGCAATTGGCTAAATTTAAACAATAATTGATAATTCCAGTAGAATTCTCGTGCTATTATAAATATAAAAACATTATTGTGTTAGTGACTTTTGAGTGCATGGACAGATATAAAATAATTTTTCTATTTTTTAGATTTAAGTTTACGATAGGTATTTTATTATTATAGGTATTATTTATTATAGTCATGAAAAAAGCGGACAATCAATATTTTTCAAATATAGGTATGTTTTTTTTATTTGGCTAAAGTAGTTGTGAAATTAATTAAACAAACTTATAAAATTCGAGACAATATATGAATTTAAATAATATTAATAACCCTTAGGCCTAGCATAAAAATTAACGGCGAGCTAAACAATTGTAAAAACTCAAGATCTATAACCTCTTACATGCCATATTTTCTGTTTGTTTAAAGTTAAAATCTTTAACAAATAAATCAGTAAAATCAAGTAGGTAACTAATTTATTTTTACGAAACAATGCAAATCAAACTTCATTGTATTGTACACCTTGGTAGGAAAGGCATATCATTAACACTGATTACTGAGTGGACGTTAGTCTACCTGACTGTAAAATATTGTCCCATCCTGCTGATAACAAGGCTATTACTTAGAATGCTTGAAGGTCCTTTAAGGGAGAGGTTTTTAGCAATGTTACTTGTAAAGGATATTCGTAGTAGGATGAAAATTTAGTTTTGGACAGAATTTTACATTTATAAAGGTAATAACAAAATATATGAGACAGAGTAGTAAACACGTAAAATACAAAATATTCGCACATTTACTTAGTTTATTTTTTAAATTACTTGTTTTTTTTATAATGTTAGTAAAAGATACAAACTATTATTCATAGTTAGCTGATGATCATAAATCTTAAACTCATGATTATTTTACTAAAATTTATTAGCAGATTGGTGGGCATATTAACGGGACTCCTTTAAAAAGTGTGTTATATTTTATAAAAATGTTCAATTTATGGTCAACAAATACAAAATTTTATTGCTCAGCAGTTTTCTTTAAGGCTTTTCTCCTTTAGATTGTTTGTAAAAGTCCCAACTCAAGGTTTTGTTTCTTGAAGTTTGTCTAGTTGGTCGTACCAAAGACCTTCTTTCTCTAGGGCCGCTCTTGAAGTTTTCTCTTGGAATTCCAAGTCACCTTCTTCATTCTTCTTGACCTGAACACAAGTATTAAATTGGATTTTAACTTTGAAACAATAATCCAAATCGATACATTTATTTCTAAGTAGTTTCTAAGAATGATAGCCTGATAAAAACAAACTTATTCGTCACGAAAGAAGTAAAGTTAAAATTACTATCACAAAGCATATTAAAAATATGTCATTACTTCAACCCATTAAACACAATGTGATAGGCACAAAAGTATCATTTCAGCTTTCATTTAATTTGAATCTTTGAGCGATGAAAATATGTACAATAATTTCACTTAGGTGAATCTTATTTTTGTTAGTCTGCTTAACTTTAATTATCATGGTTTATTTAAACTTGTTTGCAAGGCAAAACGAAAATACAAAACTTTTGAAAGATAATGCTGTTTTTAGTTATTATGTAAATTAAACTACCAATTTAAAATAAATTAAATTTTCCAATTGAGGATCTGCACCATAAAGTGTGATTTGCCTATTTCAATCTTGTTCCAATCATTAAACTCATTGTCTTACACTGTTTTTTTGTTTACAACCAACTGTGGTAACACATTAAACTGAAAGATCGGCTGTTATTAAAATGCAACTGACGTTGAAAAGAAAGTTAGTCAGCATCAAACCTTTGAAAGCGAAGTCTATAAATGAATCAAACGCTTGGGGTACGAAGTCCTAAAGGAAACTAAGTTACAATTCATCAGTTATCACTCCGCTATATCAAAAGCTTTAAAATGACACCTCAATAGTTAATATCGGTTAAGTAGCACGGGGGGATATTACAGATAAATTCCTTATTGTATTTAAGTATATAGATTTTATTTAACTTTTCACTTTTAGCTTTTCAGCACCTACCTCATAGACACGTTCCATTTGGAAGTTCTCTGGTTTTCTGTACCCAATCAGATAGAAGTAGAGAGTGTCCCCTTCCTGCATTTCCCGGTGTCTGATGAGTTTAAACTTGGACTTGGGGGAGAAGCACTCCACTCGACCCTTGCAGTACAACTCCTTTGCATCTTTGAACTCAGCATTGAATGACACAAAGTAACGAAAGTCCATCATTTCCTTTCCTGCCTCTGTAGAATCAGAAGGTTTTTATTTTATTCAATACGTAATTTATTAGAATTATTTGATTCGATTCGAAAACGTGCGTATGTCAGGGCACAGACAAGTGTAAAAGGTAGAAGTTTAAAAGGTAATAAAACATACTATTTTAATCATTATAACGATCCAGAGGCTACATCTCAACGAAATACGAAAGAAAAACTTGTTGATAGACTACTGATCAATGAAAGCCGAATTCTATTTCAGTTTATCAAAAACTACTGTCTTCTCTCAGATTCGAACCAGCAGTCTTACAATTATATCAGTTGACTCAGCTGCCCAGCTATAGTATACAATTAACGAGTAACATTGAACGCAGGGTACAAGAACTTTTGTTGCAACTTTTGAAACAAAAAGTTATATACAATGTTCGTTTGGTAATGTACTCATTTTGTCTAATTTCTTGTATAGCACTGTACATAAAAACTGCTTGGATGGACCTTGACATTTTGTTGTTGTTGCATACAATATAAATTAGTTTTTTTCTTCAGTTGAAATGAATAACTTTAAGTTGGTTCACAAATAAAACTCTGTTAAACTATTCTTTGAGATAAGTTCCTTACCACCTTCTGACGAGTACAAAGCTAAATACAGTTTGTAAAGTTGTACTAATCAATGGCTTTGACATATTCTTTTGATGTTTCTTTTATTTTAAATACTATCTACGATATCAAAAGCCTTCATTTTTTAACAACCGATAGGCTAAACTACAAAATACGAAGTAAATAATAACTCTCTTCGTAAATAATTCTCTACCGGTTGCATCTAGGCCTACTTATAAACATACGATAAGTAAATTAAACACAAACTCATAAAACAGCTTTAGCAAATTAATGACAACATAACCACAAATAAATGATCGATGTGAGTTATTCGATTCTATCCAGATAGTGTACCTGGTATGGAAATATTAAATCCGGTGCCATTGAGAATGGATACTTCTAAAGCAGGGGTGCGAAGCTCTTCTCCAGCCTGCTCTTCTCCAGCTTGGGTTGAGGAGAAAACGGACACCAAGAACACAACCAACACCACGTACATATTCATGACTGCTTAACTCTGAACAGCTGATTTTAGTATCACAATATCAGCTGATATCGCTGCTTGGACTATCAGATCAACGGCTATCTCACTGTAACTCTAATTGGCTATAACGAGTTACATTAATTGTTATTGTTAAGACTATTGTTTCGTTTATGGCTGCGTTTTATGTTGGGGTGTGAAAGATATGATTGTGGTAGAAAATGACTCAACATATTTGAATAGCAAGATTCGTTTTGTATTGATAACTCATCACTTTTGTTTTTAATTTGTTTATTCCTATAAAGTCGTTAAAATTAGTATATAGTATGTATAGGAATCAGTTGCTTCAGTTTTGAAAGAACTTTACATATTTATATTATTAGATAGCATTAGAACGTCTACATACCTACTTATATAATGTTCTTTATCTTTCAAATTCAACTATAAGGTAAAACGCTTTTCTAACTTCCCTTTGTTAGATTAATAAGAAATAATTTCACGGATTGTTAACTGATTTATAAAACTATTTCGAAACCGTATCAGAGTTAACTATTTTGACCTAAATTCACTTTAAATCTTAATGTAAACTGTACCACAAGGCAAAGAAGTTTTATTTGTCACAACAGTTTTTATCCCATTGACCAGTCCAGTTTGATTGTGTTTGTATTTGCGCTGCCTTATCGATTTAATTATTACATTGCTACGGAAGTTTGTTATAGTTTTCTTCTAAATAACAGATTTACGTTTCCTTTTATGATTGATAATTGAAATATTTTTTCGTTACAGTAGATCAAAAAAATGTAACTAAACGTTTCTTTATATGCAAATCGTTTATGATATTCTGGTAATCATTATAGAATAAGAGCAATCCACCGGAAGTATTCATTAAATTTAAATACTAATTCTTTTCTAGAACCGAAATATTTTCTTTGCAAAAACACATGTTAAAGTTGAATTCAAAATTTAAAATTTGGACATCGCAGTGACTTCCTTGTTTTAGAAAGATTCCTCTTCAAAATATGTGTTGTGTACTGTAGATGGTGCGTAAGAAATTTTTTTTTACAACATTTAAAGCAAACTAGCCCCCTATACAAAAAATATATTGAAAATTATAAAATTTTGTTTTTTAACATCATTAAGTCCGCAATACTCCTGTATTAAAGGGATCACTATAATCCAAAATGAAGGAGCCCAAACTTATTAGCATGAAGCTGACGTAATGAATTGAGTTAATCAACGAAAACCAACCTTAACAGAACGGCCTGACTTGCCAAGTAATATCTTCTGCACCTGGTGGGTTCTTGCATTATTAAATTTAAATCCAAAAATATATCAAAATTAGCCTCACTTGTTTAATAATGCAACAACATTATCTAAAATTATATAAAAATTCAATTTGATGAGTAAAATACTTTGATTATGTTTTAAATAACCACGAAGTTCAATGGGTAAACATATAAAGAACGAATTGCATTTTTTTCAAATAAATTGTGCAAAAGGGCTGTTGTAGTGACGAGGACTTATAAAATGGTAATGACAAATAGTTCTTTTAGTAATTTAAACTAATTTTAATCCAAAAATGGTCAAGTTAAGCGAGAAAAAAATAAAAATGTACACAGTACTGAATCAGTCTACATTTACAATTCTTTGCTATTGTTGAATTATTGTATCTGTACTATAAACAAATCTTAGATGATGAATTAAGCAAGTTAGGTATATTTTAGGTTATACATTATATTTTATCCCGGTTTAGTTCAGAAAACTACGGTATGAAAACATGCAAACTGATAAAATTTATAAAACTGCTTCTACACACCTTCTACCACGATTGCCTTAAAATTAGTGTACAAACAAAGAATTGATCATTGTGAAGTTTTAATTTATTAAATCCTTATTGATTGCATAAATTAATTGTGTTTGTGTTGACATTTCCTTTTCGATTAAGTAACTTAATTTAAACGTGGATTTCAGATAATTTTATCTATAATCACTTGAAGAATGGGTTAAAGAATATTACCAATTTGGATTCCAAATAGAGTCCACCATTTAAATCAAACAAAATAAGACACAGTCTCATAAAAAGCAAAAAAAACCTGTAACATATGGACGTCAAATGCGAAAGAACATAAATACATCTTATTTAATTAAATATTCCCACGTGTAAGCTAGTAAGTGAGGATGTTTAAATAGTAATTGGAATAAACCTGTTAGCATGCAGCTGGCGTATAATTGAGTTAATCAAGTAAAATAACATTAACACGACAGCTTCACTTGATTAAGTGATATCTGCATCCAGAGATCTTTTATGTTAATTATGTTTTTGAGCCAAACTAAATATTTAAATTAATTAGGTAAAATTGAAAAAATACAGAGTAACTACTTAATCCTCTCAAGGTTCAAGATTACCTTAAACAATTTCATGATATTGTTTTATGGTTATTATTGGGTAAAAAGTATTCTGTAGTTATTTGATCCTTTGTTATTTTTGGATATATTTTTGTTAGGCCTACTAGTGCTGCTGTTCCCTGTGAAATTATGTTTGGTAAAAAAAAAATTTGGGGGTTTTTCATAATCAAGTTATCTTATGTTTTTGGGGTGCTTCAAGGTTTGTCAAGTATATATTATTATATAACAGATTATAAATATTAATAACATAGCAGGTTATTAATATGGGGAAAAATATATCGATGTTTTTTTTTATTTTTTTACTAAATAAACCGTGTAGAATAAATATTGTTGACAAAATGTGAATGAATAATATTTTCAACAAATTTACCGTTCAAATTTTAGTAGATTAAATATATCTAGTTGCTGCAAGGTCTAAGATTAACCCCCCCCCCCGCAGTTTAGCTCTACCCATGGTTATAGAGACATAATAAATACAATTAAATTATCAGAGGCAATCTATCAAAGCGTTACCTAGTCCGCCATTAATGTACGTATGAAACTTAAAATATACGCATTAATTACGTTGAGTAATTAGATCCGCAGCCATAGATGCAAACCAAATATTACCTTTTGGAACAGAAAACACATACTTGTGTTTACAGTGTAATTGCGAATGGAACTACGAATGTAAAGGCGACATGTGGTGTTTGACACGATGGCGTCAATATTTGTTTTAAAAACATATTATTCTACTGGTAACAATGTCAATAAGGATAATCTCATTGTCATGATAAATTATGAATCGAAAAATAAACTCTTAAACCTTTTGGATGAATTTTACGAATTTTGTAGCATCTATTTTGTGGAAGATTTGGTTTAAAAAACATTAATTCGGTAAATTTGAATCATCTGCAAAGTAAAATAATTATATTGATGACATAATGATGTCATGTCACTTTTTATAATATTACTTATACGTTAAAAGACAATTTTCGTATTGGCCTACATGTATTGATTATATTTACTTCGTCGCACTATGTATTAGAGTATGTCATTTCAAGGATTTATTTTTTATCTCCCTTGATGCAACGCCGACGTTAAATTTCCACAACTCGCAAAGTTAGATTTGATATCTTGTATCCATTGATGAGTCTCCAGTTTACCACGGCTTATCATCATAATATAGGCAGCTCTCGCAACAAAGGACACTGATAAGACAGGCTACAGCCCCAGAGGTGATAAGCTACTGTTGTATAATACAGTGGCTTATACAAGGAAAACCACAAAGAATGAAAACTTTTATGGTAAAATAATCACAAACCACTTAGGAAAAGCATTGTATTGAAAGTGAAAACGAGTGAAATTTAATTTTCTTTAATTAGGTACTTATTAGTTTCATACATTAGACTGATATATAATAAATTCATAAAAAGTCTTTATAGATCTGGTAACATTGTGTTGTAAGGTTTTCAGATTGGTTTTAGAGCTAATTTAAAAGGTTTGTAGAAATAAGTTCATCAATACAAACAAATATTTCCAAGTTTCTTTGCTGCAACACTAT